GGTCCTGCAAGAACTCAGAAAAAACACAACTATGAAAAAAGCATTGTGCTAGCTGCCAGTTTGTTTCTGAATGAGATACAAAGTACTCGTTATTACCATAAGTCCCTACTAGCTTGGGTGCAGGTTACTTGAGATAATACTTCTTTCTATAAAATTCGTCCCTCTTCCTCCTTGCTCACTGACGTCATCTGGAACCCTTGCTTTATATCAAGACAATGCACAAAAGGAAGCAAACAACCTTTGGTCCAAAGAAAAAGTACTCAAGGCATCTGGACTTTTTGCTGATTAATTTGCTACATATGCCTTGTGCAGGCAGATTCTTTTCTGTCAGATTCTACTTCAACCAGTGTCTGAGGTTTGATAATTGATTACCTTTCCTCATTCGTGGCATCTGTTGAGGTTTTAAATCCATTATGCCTTTGGTGAAACCTGTTTTTCACTCTCTTTCAAATTGGCACAAACCTGATAGATGAGCTTGGCAAATGCAAAGTTATATCTTCATTCAAATATGATTTTGCTCTCACCACGAAGTTCAGTTTGCTTTATATTCTGTCCAAAGTTCAATTGAGGCTTTATAGTGCAGTACAGAGAGCCAGGGGGTTAGGAGATAAATGATGTGGGAAGGTCCAAATTAGACTGCATATCAGTAACTAGTATGCTTGCAGTAGTTGTCAAAGGAAAGGCAGGAAATAATTTGTAGATTCCCAGGCAGTCTTTTCTGAAATGGCTTTCAAGAGTGGAGATTAACCTTATCTTAACTGTACTCCTTTAAGAGAGCCCTTTTTTCTCCCTTGCAGTGGTTGACTGAGTGAAAACGGATTTCTATGTACGTTGCCTGTTGTTGCTGGTGCTACTCAGAGCCCTCTAGGCAGTAGTGAAACTGGCAGAAATTAGGTCATTTTTAATGACATTGTTGCTTGGGAGAGCAGCAGAAGGCACTAGCGCTTTTTGTCCTGGGGTGACACGATAGGGAGACAGAATTTTGCCATGTACACAATCCAGTATGCTTTATGTCATCCTTACTAGGTAGACCAGCCAGGAAACATGACCAGATGAGCTATTTCTACTTTATTGTAAAGCTACATTAACAGAATCTTGCAAGTCTGAAAGTACAATCCTCCTCCCGTCTCCTTTACAGCCCAGGAAACTAGGGAGGGTCTCTTCTGAGCCTCTTGCCCCACCCACTAACCAGTTGCAGGCTATGCAGTCTCTTATCTGACCATTCCCTAGGCAGTGTCTCTTGTCCCCATCTCCCACGGTCTTTCCCACTGTTACACTTTATCAACAGTATGGCTAGTGACTCCTATCTTAGACTGGTGCAGGCATACCTTTTCTCCTCCGCTCCCTAGGCACTCTTCTCCATTGCCATTTTGGTCTAGCTGCGAAAGAAACTGAAGACCTGGCTGCTGTAGAGGCATTGGCTTTCACTACGCCTGACCAGTGCTCTCCAAGGGCTTGCCAACTCCTATGTACACATATTTAACACTCTTTTGAAAGAATGCTAGACCAGGGTTTTAAGAAATAGGACTAGTGCTTTCTTGAGTTCAGTGCTACATTGAAGATCAATTTAAACCTTTCCTTAAGTGTTGCCACCTAGCAGGACCTAGGCAGTGTGCCTTCTTGGTGGTAGCCTTGCGCTTTGGACCTGCCTTCCCCCTGAGAACTGGCAGGTCCCTGCCCTCCTGGCCTTCCAAAAAGCTGTGAATACCTGGCTTTTTTCACAAGCCTTGAGGTAGTATAAGGCCAGACACTAGTGAAGCACTAAAGTTGTTGTTTTTCCCTTGGATGTGTGGGGATATGTGAGGATGCCAGGAGGGTTTTTTGGGGGGGGGTTGGTTTTTATTGTTTTATTATGGCTTGTGAGCTGCCCCAACACACGTTAAGGAAAATGGCCTAACCTGCTGGCAGTTGACACTCAGCTGAAAGAAACAAAGCCAAGGAAATCCCCCAGTCGCTTTCCTTAACTGGTCCCACATTAAAATGGTAAAAGTGAGCACCACTCTCTGGCCTAGATTTTCAGGCAAAACAGGTGTAATGGAATGTAAGAATTACCTTAGAAGATGGGGGGAAGAGATGCTGCCTAGGGAACGATTGGATAAAAGGGGGAAGAGCCCACAATTGATTAATGGGAAGAGAAAGAAACTTAGAAAGGACCCGCCCTAACTTATCAGGCAGTAAAAAGGGACAGGGGAATATTTGTACTTTCAGACTTGCAAGATTCTGCTAATGTAGCCTATCAATAAAGTAGAAGCAGCTCATCTGGTTGTGTTTCCTGTCTGGTTTACCTGGGAGGCTGACAACAGGGCTCAGCCATGGTGCAGTGCAGTTTATGCTGGGATATTTTTCTGCTGCCTGAAAGACTGGGAGATTGCATTTGAACCAGTCACCTGGCTGCACCTATAGATGGAGAGGGAAGACAGAAAGATGCTTAGCTATCAGGGTGAGGAAAAGTCAAAATCTCTGTAGAAGGATGTGAAAAAGGTTCAGGGGCATTATAGCACTAGATGACTGGATGATTTGGTGTAGTGGGAGCTCCATTCCAAAATAAATTATACAATTAATTTTTACTCCCATATATATGGACATCCACAAGGGACAATGGGATAAATGACACATGTGATGACACCATCCACAAATGCTTCTATGTATTTGCATCAGAAGCCATGATACATCACAAGAGTTGTATGATGAAATGATTTTGACATCATCATAGGTTGTTACAGCAGCTGCTACTCATACATTTAAAGATTTCACTCTTGCATCACATAAAAATTATAATTCAGCAGAACTTTTGGAGTAGCTGTTGATCACACCTAAATATGGGAAAACTGTAAGTGAGACATTGGATCACCCTAGCAAACTTCAGATGTATGCGCTACAGAGTCCTTTAGTCTGACCAGAAGCGATAGGCATTGTAGTCTATTTTTCAGTTGGATAAAGCTGCAGTAGAAGATGATTTGCGAGAACTCTTATCAGGACCAATTAATTACTTCAGAGGGTAACTAGTTTACGTGCACATTTTAACTTCAATTTTAACAGAAAGAAATGGAATACTTACAATACTGAGAACTACCCATGAGAAAGAAGCACGTTCTACATACCTCTTCAGAAGGTATTTTGGATAAGGAATTTTGGATATATTTGCAGCTTGGTCCATTCTGACATTCTTAATTGGCAAAGAGCTGTAGCAACTGTGCCAACATACAACAAGAAGCCAACTCAGCCATCCTTAACTGGCAGCATTAAGTTAATTATTGGAGAGGCTTGATCAACAGTGTCTTGCTTTTGGCCTGTGTCTAGGACGCGCCGTTGTGTTGTTGTTTGTTGTGAGCTTTGAATAGCCAGTCCTGCCAGCTGCTAGCCTGAAATGAAGTTACATCCAAATCATTACCTCCCAAAAGGATAACAAGTAGAGTTGAGTATAGCTGAATGGGACAACCTCCTGCCAGGCTGGGCCTGGATTTAGGCCACGCTAAGAAACAAGTCAAGCCATTGTCTACTTGAATGAGTTGACTGGCAGGAGAAAGAAGGGAAAGCAACCTATTTAAAAAAGGGCAGCCTAGTCTGCCAGGAAAAATCCCACTATTTCACATTTGCTTTAGGAAGACAGTTTGTTGGGAATGCTACAGAAACCTAGCACATGGAGGCAAATGGCTCAACCTGTTAGACAGTGCTACCATGTCAAGAATCAAGATGACTGTTGTAAAATGTTTGCAGCAAAGGGCACTGATGGTGATTGCTTCAAAAGGCTTTGCTTAGATTGCTTTCTGTCCAATATTAAAGCAGTATGTCTTACTCAATATTTCATTCAGGGAATATGCTGGAGGTGACAGCTGGGTTACTGGCAATTTTGAATAGGCATTCATTAACAATCCTATACTGTACATCCTGTTCAGTAGGACTTACTTCTTAGTAAGTGGGTGTAGCATTATGACCTCAATAAAGTAACATGCGAATAATCAATACATGTAATCCTCGTTTAGCGATCACAATTGGGACCAGCAACTTGGTCATTAAGTGAAGTGGTTGCTAAGTGAAACTACAACTGTGCTTATGATCTTACTGCAGCTTTCCTTTGCTTTACAGACCTGCAAAGGTCATAAATGCAAGGATTGATTGTAAAAATACTTTTTCATCACCATGATAACTGTGAACAGTCACTAAACGAGGCAGTCACTGAACAAGGACTACTTGTAGTAGAAAAGTCTGGCTAGTGAGATCAGAATTGCATGTTTGCCAATATTGAAGAGATGCACCTTTATCAACCTGGTGTCTTCCTAATATTTTTGACTAAACTTCTCAAAAGTCCTTTCACCATGGAATATTGAGAGTAGAAAATTATTCATTAAGAAATTTGAAGCTGCAACCCAATTCACATTTATTAGGGATAACTGGTACTGAATTCAATAGTCAATTTTCACAGAGTCAGCTTTTCATAGAGTCATACTGTAGATGAAATCCTCATTACTTGGATCTTAAATTCTTTATTAAACTGGATTTGCATAACTGTATAAGAATAAATAATTCAGCAGAACCAAAGTCTTTGTACAAAATGCCCTTCTTTAAGAAAGTCATTCTGACCCCCCCCCCATTTTCTTACTATATGAGAGAGAAAGCCTCTTATAAAATGAAATTGTCCAGCTATAGATATTCTTACATTACTTTAAAAAACTCTGCTCCTTGTTAATTAGTAAGACCACTTTTAATCAAAAGTTTTAATTGATATGGTTAATCTAATTACATATGGATGCTCCAGTAGGAAAAAAAAAATGATTCCAAAAGGAATGGAAAGCACAAATTGCCTCCATTGATTTGATATGAAGATTATTTAGATGGCTATTTTGTGGTTTGTTAGGTGACCCACTCATGTTTTAATTTTAAAACACACAAGCACTGAATAGCATGCAGTAACTGGCCACTGGTATTCCAAATAGAATTAGCCCAAGGTGTTTCCCTTTGTGAGGCATAGTACAGAGTAATACCCCTTTCCATTTCCACAGACAGAAGCTGACTGGGCTGCCAGCAGACTACCTCCACACTGGAATCAGGATATTTTACTACATCTGAGAACAGGTAGGCCATGTGGGCTACGCACAGCCCTCTCCTCCAAATAGCTGTCACCTCCTGCCCCTCCCCTTTCTACTGCCTAAGACAGATGTTTTGTTCTGCCTCAGGATAATGCTGGCTCTGGTTTTGAGACATTTTCTGAAACCAAGATCATCACTATGCCAAATTGATACTTGATATCCGATTCCTTCAAATGTGTACATCATTTTCAATTTGGCAAAAGTTTATGGGTTTGGCATATAAAGTTATACAGTGAGATCATGTATATTTATTAGCATGGATGAGGAGAATTAGTTCCCTCCATCTGGAAAATGACTTAAGTAAATTAACAAATGCAGGTATGTGAGCCTATATAAAAAAGGAGTTACAGCCAAGATAGAAAGGTGATATAAGGCCATGTATTCAATCTTAAATAATTCATAGTTTCAGAAATTCATCTTAGGATAATAAAGGGATTTGAAGGTCCATTCTATGAAACCTAAGTGGCAAATGTCTCCATCCTTGCAAAGGAGAGGAAAAGAGGATTCAGACCAAGTACTAACTGGCCATCTTTGAAAAGCATTAGAACTACAGTAAACATTAAGTAGTGAGTATGAAGGTAATAGAAATCAGTTTCTCAAGAACAAGTCTTGCCAGGAAAGCCATTTCTTCTTCTTCTTTTTTTAATGTAGAGTTAATTGATCAGAGAACTGCTGTGGACAGAATAAATTTTAATGTCACGAAAGCTTTTGACACATTGTCTATGATTTTCTTGTAGGCAAATTGAGGGAATGGATCTAGATGATTCTACTGATGGATGAATGTATAGCTGATCAATGAACTGTACCTAAAGAATGTTTCATGTCAGCAGGACAGAAATCATAAGTAGATGATTTCTGATTTGCAGTTAATACCAAAACTAGCAGTGGTAGAAAAGGATTTAAGATGATTTTGACAGGCTGGAAAACTGAGCCAAAACTGAAGAGGGGGCAGGGGGAGAGTTTCATTTGATTTAAATGAAAAGGTCTATGTTTAGATATGAAGAATCAATTGCATTAGTCTAATTGGCATCTGCCTTGACAGCAGTAGGTTTTGGTAGACCAAAACCTAAGCATGATCCAGGAATGTGTTGCCATGATTAAAAAGGCTTGCACAATTCCAGATTACCTCACCTAGAAAAGACAATGAAAATATAATATGCTAGATATGATAATCAGCCCAATGGATTTTCTGTTAACTCCAGAAAGAAGGATCTGCATTAAAAGGTTTACATTATAAGAAAAATTGATTTATACTAAATGTTAGGAACAACTTTCTGACCAGAAACTATCAAGTGTAAGATAGGTTACCTCAAAATGTATTCTCTTCTCTTAGCTGTTTCGGCAGATTGGACAAGACTTTGAGGAGCCTAAAAACTCTAATTCCAGAATTAGATCATGTCTTTTTGCCCTCTAGTCTGCTTAGTGGGACTATGGAGTGTGTGCATCTTTCATTCTGAAATTCTGAATGAAATAAAAATATAGCAAAATTGGAATATAACCGTTTTTTAAAGCTAATGTGTTTTATTGATGTGTTTTTCAAATTAAAATTATGATTGGAGTTTTGAGAAGGCTTAGATATGGTTGGAAATTAGACTAGGGTTACATAGGTGGGTTGCAAAGATCTGGACAACTGTTGGATGGCAGCACATACTTAATATTTTCTGAATTTCTTTGCTACCTTCTACTTGTCCTGTTTTTTGCATCTCAGATAAGGTAGCTCTAAATTAGACTAAAGGTTTGGGGAAAGATGATCTATTAAAACTACACACACATTAATCCATGGAAACGGCTAATCATGTTTATGCTAGAACTCTTGAATCTAGATATGTATAGGAAAGAAAATTATCTCTGTGCTCTTGGCTATATGACTCCTCTGTATGTATGTTTAAGCACATATATATTTGAGATTCTTCTACTAATCTGAATAGCTCCAGATGAAACTAATTTATTATAGCAAAAATGAAACCTTGTAAGAAATCTGGAAATGGTTGGGAAACAGATGAGGAAAAAGATCCTATTGCTTTTTTCATGCTGGGTTGGTAAGGTTAAGGAAAAGTAGAACTGGATGCCATCTATTCCTGTTGTACAGCCCATTGCTGAAAGGAGAGATAGACTTTTGCACTTAAAATTAATAAATGATGGAAAGTGAAATAAAGCTGATTTCCAAGTTGTTAAAGTGAATGAGCCTAGCAATAGACACATTAATGGTTAGAAAGTAATTTCATAGAGTCAGGATGGGAGAGTGAATAAAATGTCAGACTACATCTGGGGAGACCTAGGATCAACCTCTCATTCAATATGAGGTTGTACGTGATTTTGAAATCACTTAGGCTAGCGTACTTCACGGGCTGGCTATGACAATCAAATATGAGCATACTTTACTCTAAATTCTTAGAGAAGCAGCAGGATAGAAATGTAATAAATAATTAAACAAATTTCTATCTCCAGAAACACTGGTAGCCTTACCAGTGATTTGAAAGCCACCCCACCTATGGGCCTGAGGCCTAAAAAGATTACTGATCATAGTTTGGGCAGACCACTGTTAGTCATTTTGGAACTTGCTATCACCTTCGCATGAGTTGAAATCATGCCTATCAGACAAAGCAGTGACAATGGGTAAGGATGTGCAAATGACCTACTAGAATAGCTTGACACCATTAATCACACATTATCTGTTGGACTCCAGATTCCTCCTATAAAAACATCCTGCCCTCATGAGAACATCCATTTCTGTTGAGGTTGATAAACAGGCCCCTGTGCATCTAAATAAAGGTGCAAATCAATTCTTTCCTGATTTGTTTACAGAATTTATTGCTATTTTTAGTTTTAAATTAAAATTCATTTCTAATTGAAACCTTTCTTACATAAGCCATAATTAAATGTAAGTTGTTTCTAAAATGTCCAAAATATTCATGATTGCAGGTTTGTCTATAGCTAAATGGCTATTAATGAGCTGTAGTTGTGGCAGCATCAGACATAAAATCCATATAGATAATTAAGAAATTATCCTTTGGGGAAAGCTCAGATATCTGCCACCTTTTTAGCTGTGAAAAGAAAAACAAGTGATCTCTATGAGGATAACTTCCTCCCCTTCCCTTCCTGCACATAAAATTATATTAACAGTGACACGAAATCTGCATCTGTCTTGAATACTCCATCTGGCTGATTGCAGAATCTGCTGCAGAATCTGAAAACGTATGAAATGTAGAACTGGGGTGGAGTTACTGAGAGAAATTAACCTTTTGAAGATATTTAGGAGGAGTTTTTTCAGCTAGAGGCAAGGAACTCTTGTGCCAAGGGCACATTTAATGTTTAGGCACACTCACAAAATGCTGATCGCAGGAGACATATTCACAAAACAGTAGCCTAGTGGGCATGACCAATCCCAAAGACCGATTGACTCAAAATGAACTTGATCCCCAGGGTATTGTCTACCATCTCAGTAGGATTTGGGAAGCTCAAAGCATTCCTGAAAATAATTATGATGCTAGATGCTACTGGATTAAAGAATTCCTTTAGTCAGGGGGTAGGGAACCAGATGAACATACTATAAAGGGATGTCCTTGGCCTATGTTGTATAGAACATAAAATGAGGGGAAATATGCATCTTAACAGGATTTGGGTTGGTGGATGGATATTGATACAGTTTGAACTGTAAGATCATTTTTTCTCAGTACTAGTCTCTGCCTTGTCCAGTTAATTATTTTCAACAGCCTCTGTACAGAAAGCTGCATAGATACAACACATGCACTTTTAAATGCTTGGAGAAACTGTATAATGATAGAACTGATCTACAGCTTGGCCTGCATATATGTGCAGTATTATTCAAGAATAATAGTGCTCCTGCAAGATAGTGGAAGAATAGTGCTCTTGGAAGATAAAATTTGAAGTAACATATAGTTCTAGCTATACTAGGGATGTGAAATCCTGTGGGCAGCATTTTCTCTATTACTCTTTTTCTTTGTTTGGGTGGACTACATTCAGATCCAAGATGCTTTTCTATATGTGGAGAGTGATGCCATTTGAATGAATAGAGTCCATAGGCTTTCATTGCTTATCATTTTTCTGATGACTTTAATCTATTATGGTATACTATACCTCCTGTCCTATTAATCAAGGCCTTCCTTTACCAACAACTTAAAGCTTCTCAAAAAAATTAATTATGGGAAGCTCAAATTATCAGAGCAATGAAAAATATTTTCACCAAGTTCTAAGATGGAGCAAGACAGGTGGTTTAAAGATAGATGTTTGACAATTCCAGGTTCTCCTAGTGGTGGATAACACTGTCCAGTAGGGAAGACTGGCTTAAAATGTTGTTTGAAAATCTTATGTTTTATTATAAAATCCAACCTACAAAAGTTCATCTTAGAAATCATGGCAATCCAGAGTTTGTCTCCCAGTTTGTAAGATTAAAGAATACTGAGTTTAGTTTATTTACCTGATTTTCAGTCTGTTAGGCTAAAATTACCCATGTACATTCAAATGTGGTTAAACTAGATATGAAAACTAGTTTCACTCTAAATAACATGACTGTATTAATATTATGGAAGTGTCTTTGACACATAGGAGTATTGATGAAACCGTTAAACATCACTGCAAAAATTTAAGATGCTTGGGATTGTTGTTGTTGTTGTTGTTGTCATTTTATTTCAGCTGATAATGACAAATCATATATGCATGTAAGAAGACCCAAAAAACAAACTGTAATACATCCTGAGTGCATGTCACTATATTGTCATTGGACAGGACTATTGATTGTACTCACAGCAAAGAGTAGCAAATACTGTCCAAAATGTCTTAAAACTCAGTGGTATTGTCCTTATTGTTAGCAGAGAATGCTGCATGTAGTAAGGCTACCTCGTCTATACTTTCTCTAATTAAAAAACTTTATATGAAAAAGCCTTGATTTACCAAAGTCAGGATGGATGATGGAGGTTGATATCTGTGGGTCTGTCTGGTGACAACCATAGCATATGCACAATTGTA